AATTCATAACAATTTAAATACCGGTACGTTTGCAAACAGCTTGGTGGGTCTCCTTGAAATGTACTCTGCATACTTATATTTTATGAAGTTCCCTGCACCAAGTTTTCTGTTTATTATAAATGCTTCCTGATTTTTGTTAGATTTATAAGACAACCGCTAAGCTTTTGTGTAGACATTTTGTTAGTAATCCCCTATTATTAACGCAAGATAAACAGAAATTTTAAATGGAGGTTATTTCATATGTATGGGTCTCAACTCATAGTACGATAACTTAATGGCATGTTTCCAAAACCGGCGCACTCGCATAACATTCAATAACATAATTTACGCTAGATGACAGCACTTGACAGTGAAAGCTTTCCAAGTTCCAACATCATAGACTGGTCATTTGGAGCAGTTCGCACACTTGCTGCATGGTATCAGCTGGACTGGTCACAGAATGACCAATCGTCCTTTCATCCGCGAAAATCTCGTAATCGTTTTCGTATACAGTATCGCATATATCACTGGATTATAATTATTATATATCACTGGATATATGTACCGTATGTCGCTTATATCACTGGATTAACGAGACTGCCAGTGATCAGAGGCCAGAACCTGATTATTCTATGCTTCAGCAGCTAGAGAAATAACTTCAACGAAGTAAACCAGAGAATACGTTCAGTGATCGAAGTGAATGGTAGGGATGAAATAGTTTGCCTGCGATCTAACAGTTTATAGAATATACGAATATATTAGGTTGTCGTGACCGCCGGAGGCTTCCTCGTCTGCAACGGCGGTTGCCTTCTTGAAGCAGGCGATCTTTTGTACGTAGAGGACTGTTGTGGTATCGCATCACAGCCAAACTGCTAACAGTGATTATGATTTGGTAACCATATTTCCAGTCCTTTATTTCACATATCACTCCGCCTCCGCAGCCTCATCACCTATCCATATAGTACTACCACATCTCCCTCACAATGGTAAGAAATTAGCATTATCACAAAAATTGCAAAGATACATATAAGCAATCAACATTCAAGCAATTACGAAACACGAATCATATACCCGATACACTCATTTTTGATGAGATGAGTCTGAAGTCCTCCTTGAAGTCCACAGAATGATGATGTAGAGATTTCGGGGGGTGTAACTCACATGAGCAGTAGACTAGATCAGGATGGATATAGTTTGAACTCGCAGTATAGATAGAATAACCATATATTGGCTAAAGACAGGATAAAATATAGACAGTGTTGTAATATGGACTATATTCCCTTCGCGTAAGGACACGTAGTGGGAACGTGAGTGAGGTGAGGAGGCTTAACTGTCATGTCTCTCACCGACACTGTTCGTCTGACTAAATAAAGCAACATTCTTCATAGATTGACTCTTGTCATCTTATTAAAGACAGCACATAAATATAACGATCAACACCTGGGCGCAGCCATCTTGGATCATACGGATGGGGTCTAGGGAGAAGAAGGGATGTAAGCGAGAACGCAATATATAGAGTATGATAATCAACGCGTTTATGTACTATTAATCAGCATAATATACGAAGAGATTTGAATAGAATGAATAGTCTAGGTTGTCGAAGAGAGGAATATTTACTTAGAAACGAGTTGCGTCAGCAGGGGAGACAATCGTACCAGCCACGGAATCTGCGTGGGGAGTAAGCCTAGTGTTTTGACGACGCGTACTTAACAAGGGCAGGTAGGGGGGCGTTGCCAGCTAGGTATATAAGGCGCGCCGAACCGCAGCACAAGAGTGTGTTATTTTTCAGGTTAGGTAGGAAGAAGAAGCGGTAAGAAGGAGAAGAAGAAAACATTTTAGGTCCCCAGGAGATAGAAGAGGGAATAGGAGAACGGGGTATAGAACTACGGGTACAGGGAATAAAACTGGAAGGAAAGGGGCACGGGATTTCAGGTCGGTAGAGCCAGGAGCGACTACGAGGGAGACACGTACCCTTGGAGGCTACCTAGGTCTATGCGAAGAAAGGACGACGGGGAGAGGAGAAGACGAAGCCGGCAACGCGTTAATTCTTTAGTCTAGTGGTTAGTTAAACAACGTAACAGCGCTTCACGCTGCACGGATAATCGCGATAACGGCGAAGCAGATGACTTATAACGCAAGCTAAGTAGCGTAGTTAAGCTACCTATACGAGATAAACACAGATCCGCGGCATCTACGAATGCCGGGAAATTATTCGTAGGCTAGTAAGAAACAATAAAACTATAACCGTACATGCAGTTAACCAAATATAACGGTGTTCTGTTTCACTGGTACAACCTGTTATACGCTACTGCATCACCGTCCTGCCTGACGGCAGGAGCGAACAATGAATCCACATAACTAAACACGCGTTAACTATATAACGCCTGTCATACCGTAGTCGGCTACCCCTAGGGCCACGTACTACAATAATATTTTATATGAAAATACGATTGTATCATGCTTTGAAAAAGTTTAATATTAACACCACCAGTGCATCAAAAACATGCAAAAGAAATAGAAAGGCTATGAAATTATAACATTTGTAGGATAGATACATTTAGATATTAAATTAATATAATTGCTATTGCCAATTGGATCAGTCATTACATGTCGAACAACGAAAGAATCTTATCTCTTTGTTGAGGAATTTTAGTTAAGCACGTGTTTATTATGTGGGATTGACGAACATAGTCACTCTGCTCCGATGTTTTAATTATATGGCCATATTCAATAAAAAAGCATCAAAATGTAATGATAAGTAATATCTTGCAATGGTTTATAATCATTTTAATCAAGCTGGTCACTATTTGGCAGCACTTGCAATCAAATTACATAGCGTTAGATAGGGAGTGTCACCTCTTATCGTTATAAGCGCTTTGCCAATATCACAAACATTACAAAAATTACAAATATTACAAAAATTACAAATATTACAAAAATTACGAAGACGGTGACGATGACGACAATCACTGCTAAGCCGCCGAAGACAAGTCCGAGAATGAGTCCAATGTTGGCGCAATCATCCGGGGGTTTCGGCGAAACGTAAACAGTCACAAAGACCGAATTACTAGAAGTCACTTTGCCGACAGAGTTGCTGGCCGCGCATGCGTAGTCGCCCGCATCTAAATATGTGGCAGTCTCGATCACGTACTGACTGCTTTCTTTCCCACTTATCTCAGTTTCGTTGTGAAGCCATGAATAAGTTGGTTGCGGGTATCCGTCTGCACTGCAGAGGAGCGATAGCTTGTTGCCAGGGATGATGGTCACATTACCTGGTCCGTCTTCACTGCTCACTGTAACCGCGTCGTTCAGGTACATAACGTTAAGCTTCACGGCGAGCGACCTTGAAGGATAGGAATCGTATATGTCCGCGTAACTACAGAGTAGTGTTTTATCGTGGTCAGTAACGGTAAACGTGCGTGTCAGCGTGCTCTGTGTCGTTACCGTGCCATCGTCCTCGCTGACATGTGAAGTAACGGCTCCGTCGATAGCTGTGCCATCAAGTTGCCATGCTACTGTTCCTTCCGGGAAGCCCTTACTTGCAGTGCAACTAACTACATGTTCATCTGCGGTTAATGTTACCGAATCCCCCTCAACAGCATCGCCGTCCATCGTCATGGTAACATCCTCTGCTGGCACCGCCACAATCACGTTCATCGTGTTAGTCGACTTGTAATCACCAAAGACACTAGTCGCTTGACACGAGTACGATCCGCTGTCCTGGAACGCTATTGGCTCGATCACTAACTCGTTTATTGTTCCCGTGGACTGGTATTCGGCGTCATCGTACATCCACGTGTAGAACGGCTCTGGGTATCCGTTAGCATCGCAGTTCATTACCAACTTCTGCTCTGCTAGGACGATGACGCCATCGCTGGTAGGCTTGTTGGTGCTGCTGATGACAACAGTTTCACTCAAGTATAGAGTCTCTGATTTATCGATCGCGGTTAGATCGTCATGGGTGTAGACATGACAGCGCAGCGTCTTTTCATCATCATCCGATGAAAACACATGACTCAGGATGCTCTTAGTTGTGAAGGTCTTCTGTATGAAGCCCGGTTCTTCAGTTGCCTGCGAATCACGAGTAATGTCTTCCTCGTTCAGCAACCAGCTGATCTTCGCTGCGGGCTTACTGCTGTTTGAAACGCAGGCGAACTGCAGCGTGTCATCTGGCGAAGAGGCGTTGGCAATCGGAGAAATGGTCACTGATTGCGGTTCCATGAGTACCGTCAGAGAAATTCTGCCAGACGTGGGGTTAAGCGAACCTTGCTGCTGCCACTGACAGTAGAACTCAGCATCATCGATATCTAATTGTAGCGCTTGTATGTCTATGCTATGGTCGCCTGTCTTGTAATACTCGGCATCACTATAAGAGTATCTGTCTTCCTTCTTGATAATAATCTCGGTACCGTCGCGGTACCACCCAGATTGTATTTGAATGCCTTCACCACCACCGGCGTCGTAAGTCAGGTCAAGTATGCAGAACAGCGTGACGTCAGCGCCTGCAGCGGCCGTCGTGTCACGTGGTTGCTGCAGGAATTGCGTCTTCACGACCACTAGCGCTTCGCACAGGATAAGCACCACACCCAGATTCACTGCTGCCATCGTCAGGCTGGTAAAGCGGGGTTGAATGAGAGAATTGTGGTGAATACGTGGCGAATTCGTGCAAAAAACCTCTCGTCTTCGCTTCTACCGTTAGCTGCGTATACCTATAGTGAACTAGCTGATAACGCTGATAACGCTTAACCTTTGTACATCATCGCGGCGATCTGGTGTGATGACGTCACGGTTCACGGCTGCTAGAGGGTTGCTAGAGGCGATAGTTGCTGCTGATACCGAAAGTTTAGCACACAAAAAAGTGAATGAATAACAGTTCATATATTATAAACGCGGCTATATATAGCACGATTACGTAAATATATATATACATATATATAGTATTATATATATATATATATATATATATATTATATATATACATATATATATATATATATGAGAGAGAGAGAGAGAGCGCGAAGCGGAGAGAGAGATAGAGAGAGAGAGAGAGAGAGAGAGAGAGAGAGAGAGAGAGAGACGAGAGAGAGAGAGAGAGAGAGAAGAGAGACCTTGAACCTGGCAATTCAATGAGGCTGTTCCTCTTCAACCGCCCGGTGACGATGAGAGGCATGAGAGAGGCCCATGATCCAGTAAAACTACATCACGTTTCTTTATAACTGTTTAATGCACCATTAACTTTACGGTACGGAGGTTATTGCAGCTAAAGTAGACACGATATTCTTAGTGATGCCAGGTATTACAAGACAGGCAAACAATTACCCTAGAGCATAAATCGCTAGAATTATGATCGATGATGCTGAGTTCTACTGTCAGTGGCAGCAGCAAGGTTCGGTTAACCCGAGTCTGACCAAATTCCCGCTGCAGCGTACTCGGTGGAGCTATCGGCGGAACTGTTACTTCACCATGACGATAGATGGCGATGCTGTCGTTTGGAGATTCAGTAACATAGATATCATTTTATATGAATATCTATGTACTAGTAGAAATAACCGCACATGAAACATGTGTTAGTTGGCACTGCAAGTAAGGGCTTCTCGGAAGGAACAGTAGCATGGTGCAACTTGATGGCAGCACGCTAGTCGACGGAGCCGTTACTTCACATGACAGCGAGGACGATGGCACGTAATCGACCACAGAGCAGCGCTGACCAGCCACGTTTACCGTTACTGACGCACGATAAAACACTACTCTGTAGTTACGCGGACATATACGATTCCTATCTTCAAGGTCGCCTCGCCGTGAAGCTTAACGTTACTGTACCTGAAGCGAGCGCGGTTACAGTGAGCAGTGAAGACAGACCAGGTAATGTGACGGCATCAGACCCGGCAAAGCTATCGCCCTCTGCAAGTGGCAGACGGATACCCGCAACCAACCTATTCATGGCTTCAACAACGAAACTGAGATAAGTGGGAAAGAAAGCAGTCAGTAAGTGATCGAGACTGCCACCATATTTAGATGGCGGGCGACTACGCATGTGCGCCAGCAACTCTGTCGGCAAAGTGAGTTCTATCTTTTTATGACTTGTTTACGTTTCGCCGAAACCCCCGGATGATGGCGCCAACATCGGACTCATTCTCGAACTTGTCTTCGGCGGCTTAGCAGTGATTGTTGTCATCGTCATCGTCGTCCTCTACGTACAAAAGATTCAACCTTCCCTACCGATGCACGGGAATACTGAAATCAGATTTGACAGAATACGGATTGATGCAAAAGAACAAGTCGATATACGTCAACATATCTATATTCAATTTCAAATATTGCTGACACGGCATTTACCAAGCGATCATAAAAATGGAGATTCCCAGTAACAACTGCTACCTGTTTCTATATGTAATTAGTGATTACAACGCGCGCGCCCTCATGTGTACTTTGATCGTTGTTTATACTGATGGCTTCACACCCGCCAGAATTCTGTCTCAAGCAAAATAAAAGCAGAAAGCATCAATGCTGCTTGCTGCCAGTAAAGACAGTCACCCACATTGGTATGATCAGGATGAATTATAATAGATCTATTTAGTATTCACTCCTGGAATGATTACACGCTTGTACTGCTGCTAGACTACTTTAAAAACCACATAGTTACTGCAATTACTCGCTAATAATAATTACTACTAATGATACTAAAGAAATATGACTACTGATACTACTGTACTCTACAGAAATGCACTTGACAGATTGACCAACTTAAACCACCATTCGTCTTGGTTTACTGATAGCGTCACACAATTTGAACGTTTTCGCTGCGGATGATGGGGTATTATAAGCTCTCTTGATATGTTAACGGTCAATTTCTTCAAATGTTGGAAAATGCTCACGGATTCTGTAGCAAATAATCTTTGATGTTACCTAGACTGATATGAATAATATGCGCTAAACAGCTAAAGGAAAAGCTGATTTGATAATGACTACTACTTGATATCTTATATATACACACACTTAGACCATGATCCATTTAAATAAACTATGAAAGTGATGACATTAACAAACTGATCATTACAGCATCTTGCATTGTTTCTAAAACAAAATCGTTATATTTTCATAATGCAAAATACCTGGTTTAGCACATAATTCATAACAATTTAAATACGTTGCAAACAGCTTTGGTGGTCTCCTGAAATGTATCTGCATACTTATTTTTTATGAAGTTCCGCTGCACCAAGTTTCTGTTTATTATAAATGCTTCCTGATTTTTGTTAGATTTTATAAGACAACGCTAAGCTTTTGTGTAGACATTTGTTATAGTAATCCCCTATTATTAACGCAAGATAACAGAAATTTTAAATGGAGGATATTTCATATGTATGGGTCTCTGTTAAGTATTGAGAAGAGTGATGTACTCATAAAGACCGTTTCTTACTGGAGCTGATACATTTGTTCTGCCTAGCACCATACGAAGCGCGGCCAACAAGAGCGGGCGCGGTATCAATCCGCTCTGACCCAACACACAAGGTTGCTACAAAAACAACACGTGGCATGCCGCACAGTAGGTAGTCCCTACTATTAATCCCCTTATCAAAGAAGCATTTAACAAAAATAGGCATGCATTGACATAATTGAACATTGGAATCGTTGAATAATCATTTTTCTAATTATTATACTTTCTGTTTATCCTTTAATCAAAACATCAAAAATACTGTACCGTTACTCATAATGAAGATAAGGGATCATCACTGCTTGTGACGCAAACAGTCAAGTCATGTACTGTCTATAATATACAATAAACTTAATGTCCGATAAACAGTTCTGCGTCAGAATTAACTTCGTATCGTGGAGGTTTCGTTTACCTCTCTAACCCGGAACGTGTTTTATATGAATTTGGTTTGGTCTGGCACACCCGAATTAGCAGTTCTATCGCGATCAGGAGCTTCGCTTCCGTCGACGACCCTCAATCGGCTTGTGCAGCTGGGGTATCCCGACTCTCCATGGAATCCTTGGCTCGTGGGCCGATCCAGTGTTGGCGACGTCGCCTAGGTGTGGCTCACCTACTCATGGGCGTCATCACAAGAGGGTGTGCAACCTCACTTGCTTTTTGCGGTCAAGCAGGCTTTTGCTGCGTCTCTCGAATGTGTACGCATTCTCTGCCTGAGTGCTCGCCATTCGGGTTTCTATACTGTCGGACTCGGCTCGCTACCCTTCGAACAATGATGGCGGGATGCCAGCCACGACTCAACTCTCATGATCCTGCAATCACTCACTGCTTGTGCCAGGCATGAGAGGTGGCAGGTCATGTGCGTGTACGGTCGTGGTACATCTTCTGGCTCTTCTTGTCGGCTGTTTGCATGCTGGTCACGAACGTATCAGCGTTGCCATATCGTGGTCCAGGCTATCTTAGCTGGTACATTCGCACGTAGCTTTCCGGCCTGTGAGTAACTCGCCTGGACTCGGCAAGTACTGGCTAATGGGTGTCGTACGAAGGGCACAGCATAGCTAGGCTGGATCTGTCTGCTTGTTTGATTTCCGAAGTAGTGACTTGCACAGTGCGTTAATCTGTCTCTGCGATAAACGCCGTTTGACTTTGGTATCTCCGGCGATGACGTCACTGTGACAAAAGCACTCACTGTCCGCGAAATCCGATATGCTTCGGAAGCAACTGCGGTCCCGTTGTCACTCGACGACACGACTCGAAATCCAATGTTCCGCTGCAGTATGCTGCTTTGTAGCATCAGCAACAAACAATACTGGCTTGGTGTATCTGTCAGTCAGCTTGCGAATTGACCGGGTATTTACTGTAAGTAAATCGCACAATCAGGGTATCTCGTTGTTGTCGAAGTGGAATAAGTCTTGTTCGCAACTATGCTCCCAATGGATCGACTTGGGAATTTCGTGTGCCAATAGGCGCTTTCCGGACGGGTGTGCGAGGGGGGGGGGGGGGGGGTTGATGTTCCTGAGCAAATTAGACATTTGTGTATCATCTTCTGCAATGTCCTTGTTGAGATCACGTTCCAAGGTACAGATACATACTCTGACGCCGTTTCTTTGGCACGTAGACGCGTTTTCATCAATACCTTGTGATTGTAGGTGCAACTGTTGAAGTATGTTTCGGCTTGTTCTTGTCGCAGCGACAACACGGCGTACGTTTCAAGCACTAATGCCGTTCTCTACAGATCAGTTCATCTCGATATGACGCACAATGATGCGATTGGCGTCGGGATCTCTTTTGATCGTATGCAGGGCCAACCAGTTGAATGGTTTCACCACAGCTGATTGAGGGCAACTGATCACGTCTTGTTGCATCTTGTCAGAGCTTGGATCCGGTGCTGTACTAAACCGTACCAAATCCACTCTAACGTCCAAGGCTCCGAATTGTCGGCCCCAATTCCTCTGCTTGGAAGTCGACTAACGTGTCTGGGCAGAGTCATCTCCTTCCGGGTCTGGTACTCGAATGTCCAGTTGGT